CAACCTAGGAGGAATTTTTGTGATAATGCGCACTGTGACAAAATCTCGAGTGAGCAATTATGCCCTCAGCGCCATCAGGATGCCAAGACAGGTGGGATGTCTTCTGTGGGTGACCAGAAGGAAGTAAGCGCCCATGCTTTAAAGAAGTGTTCCCCTGGAAAAAGCTACTCGGAAACTGTTCTGCTCAGTCCATGGACACAAGCTGTCCCTGGGGGAGAAGCTCCTGGACTGTGGGAGAGGAGCTCTGTTTATAGTGAGTCCAGTTATGTACCCCACAAGATATGAAGGCTGGAATGGAACCCAGGTTAACCAAGTGAAAGAAAGCTCTCATACTCTTTGGCTCTCCATACAACCCCACCATCATGCCAGAGTGCTTCCTGAGTGCAGAGACAGGAGAATCTCTGTGTGTTGCTTGATTTGTGGCCTCCAAACCATGAACAACCCAAATACAAACAAAACAGCCTCAGTCCCTTATTGGAGGATTCCCTCATCCCAACGTGGGCGTTTCTGAGCTGTATCTTGCTGTATCCATGCTGTCTCTTCCTTGTAGAATAGGGTTGGGTATCCTCAGAACGTGGGGTGATGTGGTGTGGGTTGCCCATACCAGGAAATATTTCTAAATGGTTTGGTCACAGACATAACAAAGTGGCTTCTGATGTGTTTTAGCTCAGAGTGTCACTGTCACTGTCCTCCCGTTGCTCATGGATTTGTCGGAGCGGGCCCAGTAACATTGTGAGACTTGTTACTGTGTTTGACATATCAAATATGACACAGGTAGGTTCTCAGGCTTTGGCGTGCAGGCAAGATACTCTTGGTAGCTTGCCGAGAGTGGTGGTGGAATCGACCTCGGGTCGGCCATGTTGGCCACATGCAAGGCAAATGCCCTATGCCCTGTACTATGGCTACAGCCTTGCAGCTTTGCCTTGCTCTGTCCACCTCAGGTTCAATCCTCTGCATCCATCGTGGTCCAGAGGCAAAGATGGACAGCCAATTCGATCCTCGAGTTGATTCAGCTATGTACCCCACAAGATCTGAAGGCGAGAATCGAATACTGGTCACCCATGTGAAAGACGCACACCCTCAAGACTCTCCTACCACTTCCCCTTTGAAGCTCCTGGCTTGATCTTTAATTACCCAATACTTTACACGGAAGCAAACCTAAGAATGGGTGGAAAATTCTTAAAGGAACGAGCCTTGAGGACAGAAATGCCCACAGCTCCATCTTGTGGTGTTTCAGCATAAATTCTTGGGTCCAAATTTTCCCACTTTTAAGATTTTCAGCCCTTCTCTTTGCTGAAATGTTAAGTATGAGGTCATTAAAGATCCAGCATGCATCTTGGGCCACTGCAACAGGAGCAGAGCGGATAGGGCTTTTGCCTTGCATCCGTCGGACCGAGGTATATTCATAGGCTTCCCCTACGGTTCTTCAGTCAAATCCATTGTGATTACTGAGTGCAGAGACAGGAGAAGGCCGTGAGCATGCCCGGGTGTGGCCACAGCCATAAAGGAACAAACAAGAAATAAAAGTAAAACACAGAGCTTTAGTTCCTTGATAGAGATTCTCTCACCATGACTTGAGGGTGTCAGAACTGTATATTCTTCCATTCCCCACATCGGTGTACAATACTGTTAGAGTACCCTCATAATGTGGAGTGATGGGGTTTGGGTTGCCCATAACAGAAAACATTCACAGGGCTCGGTCACAGGCATCACAAGGTGCCTTCAGAACTTTTCTTGTACAGAGAGAAGAGAACGATAAATGTGAGAAAATAACCTTACCTTACTCATTAAAGGCTCAGTTCAATCCTCTGCACCCTTCGGGGTTTAGAGACAAAGGTAGGGCAACCCACTCGACCCTCGAAGAGATTCAGCTATCCACCCCACAAAGATCTGAAGGCAGGAATCGAACCCAGATTACTCAAGTGAAAGACAAGCGACCGCAGGCTCTCATACCACTGCAACCTGTGGAAGCGGTTTGCTTAATCCTTAATTACCCCATACTGAACACTGAAGCAAAACCAAGGATGGAAAATTCTTAGAGAAATGAGCCTCAAGAGGGACAGAAACGTCCACAGTGCCATCTTGTGGCATTTCATCGGAACTACCGCTGCCCGACTTTTTCCACACTTAAGGTTTCCAACCCATTTCTTTGCTTCTCTGTTAGGTATAGGGTCATTAAAGATCAAGCAAGCCGCTTGGGTCGCTGCAGGGGGAGCAGAGAAGTTCGTGCTCTTGGCTTGCAGTCCCAGGCCCCTGGTTCTTTTTCTGAATCTCCATACAGCCCCACTATCATGCCCGAGTGCTTCCTGAGTGCAGAGCCAGGAGAACCTCTGCGCGTTGTTGGATTTGTGACCCCCAAACCATGAACAAACCAAATAAAACCAAAACAGCCTCAGTCCCTTATTGGAGGATTCCCTCACCCCAACGTGTGGTTTCTGAGTTGTATCTTGCTGTATCCATGCCGCCTCTTCCTTGTAGTAGAGGTATGGGCTCCCTCACAATGTGGCACAATGGGGTGTGGATTGCCCATAGCAGGAAATGTTTCTCAATGGCTTAGTCACAGACATAGAAAAGTGGCTTCAGAAGATTTCTAGCTCAGAGTGAAGAGCAAAAATAAATAACTAAAAAGAAATAACTAAAAAAAAATGACTTTGTCTTGCTCTTTCCACGTCAGTTTCAATCCTCTGCACTCCTCGTGGTCCAGAGACAGAGACAAAGCGAGAGCAACCCACTCGACCCACGAGAAGGTTCAGTTATGTACCCCACAAATTATGAAGGTTGGAACCGAACCCAGGTTACCCAAGTGATAGAAAGCACTCGCACCTTCTCCTACTGCAGCACCTGTGCAAGTGGCTTGCTTGATCCTTAATTAGCCCATGCTTATCCCTGAAGCAAACCCAAGGGTGGAAAATTCATAAGAGAAACGGGCCTGGAGAGAGATGGAAACGCACACATCACCATCCCATGGCATTTTGTGCAACTGCCAGGGCCAGACTTTCCCACACTTCAGATTTCCAGACCTTTTCTTTGCTTCAATATCAGGTATAGGGTCATTAATCAGGTAAACCGCTTGGGTCCCTGCAGAGGAAGCAGAGCGGTTAGTGCACTTGACTTGCAGTCACAGGCCCCTGGTTCTTTCTATGGCTCTCCATACAGCCCCACCATCATGCTGGAGCGATTGCTGAGTGCAGAGCCAGGAGAACCCCTGAGTATTGCTGGTGTTGGGCCCCCAAACCATAGACAAACCAAATAAAACCAAAACAGCCTCAGTCCCTTGATAGCAGATCCTCCCACCCCAACTTGGTGAGTTCTGAGCTGTATCTTGCTGTATCACTGACCCCTATTCTTTGTTGAAGAGGGTTGGTGCATCCACAGAATGTGGGGTGATTGCACATGGGGTTGATTATAACTGGAAACCTTTCAAAGAGTTGGGCCAAAGACGGAGCAATGAGGGCTCATAACTTTTCTTGTTCAAAGTGAACAGAACAACAAAAAATAATCTCACCCTGCTTGTAACCGACCAGGTTCGATTCCCAGGTACTCAATGGTCCCCAGAACCCTGTGGGCACACACAAAAGCAGCCCCCCAAAACCCTCAGAGCCAGAGGTATAGTATAGCTGGTAGGATGTTTGCCTTGCATACAGTCACCCAGGTCCAATCCCCAGCATCCCACATGGTCCTCAAGTTCCACCAGGAGTAATTTCTAAGTGCAGAGTCTGGAATAATCCATGAGCATTGCTGGGTGTTACTCAAAAAGCAAAAAAAAATTCTTGACAGAAATGATGTATTTAGAATTTCCAGGGAAGGTGATCTCCCAGTCTTAGGCACATTATTCCTGTGTTAATTAAAATTCTTCTTAACACACCCTAGTTCCTCTGATGACTGTTACCTTCACTCCAGACATCTGGTGATGCCAGAGTTGAATCTGGCCTCTGCCAATCTCCTCCATGAAGAACAGAAGACATGGGACTTCTCATGTGTATAGGAGCCCCAAAACTCAGGAGGAAAGATGGTACCCTCAGCAATGTGGAGTGCTGAGATGTGGGGACCTGGAGTCTGGAGATCTTTAGAACCAAGTTGGTTGAAGACATCGTACTAAAGAAAGGCAAGCCTGTCCTGTGTCACCCTGTTCACTCTCGGGCACCTGGTTTTGGAGCACGGCTCACTGGGTGTCTCTCCACATAGAGGGTAAGTAGGGCGAGCCCCAGGCAGCACAGAATACGGATACAGTTCACTAGTTTATTCTCTGACCTGAGTTCCTGAAGGGTACTACAGAGCTGGGCATTGGTGGACTCTCATCCCCTCCAGGCCTTGGCGGGTGTAAGGGAGTCAAATGTACCATAGGAGGCCTCCTCTTGGCACACAGATCCCTTGAGAATGAAGGCAGCACCATTGGGTCGGGGTCATGCCCCACCCTCCACTCCACCCCACCTGGTAAACTCCTGATCTGGCTATATGATTCAGGGGAAGGGATTCGGAGGCAGGGGTGGGACAGCGTCTGGAGTTGGGCTGAGATGGGGGCCACACAGCTCTGCCAGGGGGCCCCACATCCTTCTGGAGTCCGACTTTGGTTCCCCCACTTGGGGACCCCCCACCTACTCTGTTCCCAGAAATTTCTGAGGAATCCAACGAGCAGTCTACCTCGAATGGTAGGGAATCCAGTGGTCAACAAGGAGGTACGGAAGCACCAGATATTTGGGGGAACAGGATGTGAGGCAGGTTTAGAGGCAGGTTTAGGAGGGCTGTATCAACTCTGAGCTGGAAGCCCTTTGTATGCGGTGCAGGGGTGCTAAACTTCCAGCTAAACTTCCATTGCGGCCCCAAGAGTGGAGGGGAGAGGCTTGGTGATCCCCCTGGGGCTGAAGAAGGAAGGAGATTCCTCTTATCTGACAGTGAGGCAGTTGCAAGAGAAGAGAAATAGGGTGGCTGGAGGCCTCATCACCATTAGTGCCCCTGTGAGGGCGTCCCATCTGTCCCTCCCTCTCCGCTGTGACCCCCAGACTCTCAGCTACTGAAGCAAACGGGCCCCCATTGGAAGCCGAACTTCTGGTCAGGTTGTCCGAAACCTGAAGCCGCCACATCCAGCAGCGGGAGGACCCATCCCTGGGGGCGCTGAATTCCAGCAGGGTCTTGACCTGGCCCCTCCGGGGTGCAGGGACCCCCTGCGCGCTCCCACCGCCTACTCCGCTGACCTAGCAGTCCTAGGGGGGACCGTAGTGCGGCCGCCGCCATCTGGCCATCTGGTTGAGGCCCGACTTCTGGACCGTGGCCTCCCGGAAGTGCAGCATGAGGCCCTGGCTCCCCTCCGCCAAGTCCAGCCTGGCGGCATTGTTCTGGCACAGGCCTGTGAAGGACTGCCAGGTGCTGGTGCTCAGCAGGCACAGGAAGGTCAGCTGCACGCTGCTCTCCCGGGCGCCATCGGCATCCATGTAGGAGAACTGCGGGTGCCCGGGCAGGATTCGGGGGCTAGAGGGCTGCCAGGGACAAGCTGGCGAGCCCCGGCTCTTCCTCCTGGTTGCATTTGGCTTTGTTTTAGTTTTGTTTTTGCGCACACGGCGGTGCACAGGGATCACTCCAGGTGGGTCAAAGGGAGTACTATGGGGTGCCCGTGATCAAACCCCGGTCGTCATGTGCAAGGCCAGTGTGTCCCCGTTGGACATCACTGCGGCCCGACTGAGCCTTTTTCTCGCTCCCCAGCGTGTGCTTCTCTTTAACCCTTTCTAAGTAAGTTTCTATAAAACTAGCTTGTTAGGCCCGAGTGATGATATAGTGGGTAGGACACACAGACTTGCACAGCAGGCCCAGGTTCAATTCCTGGCATCCCATAGTGTTCCCCTGAACACATCCAAGAGTAATTCCAGGACGCAGAGCTAGCTGTCAGCCCTGAGTATCGCTTGGTGTAACCAAAAAAGGAAAAGAAAAAAGAAAACAATCTTGCTTCACACACACACACACACACACACACACACACACACACACACACACACCCCACACACCACACACACAAATTTTAAAAATCCAGAGGAGCCTCTGACTCTGAGCTTCAACAGTCTGTTCCTGTGGCTGGCACGCTTGTCCTTGTTCTCCCAATCACTGACCCCAGTCATTGCTCAGGCCCCAATCAGGCTGAATCTTGTACACGGGAGGCCAGTGGGTCCTTCCAGAACACATGGCCCCCAAACTCCCACCATGTCTTTGGTTCCCCCGCATTCTCTCGCAAGCCAGCCTCTCTCCTCCCGGCCCACCTGCGGCCCAACAGCATGAATGACCTTCCCTCGTTGAATGGAGCCATACTAGCAAGGCAAGCGCCTCCCCACTGGATTATCTCTCTGGCCTCACATATCTTGTTAGGACAGGACAGCCTCGGACTGGGCCAAGGACAATGAAGATAGTATAGTTTCCACTCACACCTCTATTATCTGCTTGTCCCAGGAGGAATGTATGGGCCCCTGAGCTATGACCATATAAAGGTATAATCTAATTTCATAAAAGACCTTGTGGTTGACTAATGAAACAGTTGCCATGGGTCCAGGCTCAGCCCTCAGACCCAGATATCACGTGAAGCCCGGAACAGGCACTTACGTAAATTGAGACCTTCAAATCCTCTGTAATGGCCAGTATAGGCCTATAAATGCTCCCTTCTGAAGAAGCTCGAGGTCTTGCCTCACCTACTGGGCCTGCGTGTCGGTGGGACGGCTTGACTCTGGCGAACCAGCTCAATAAACTGCCTGCTTGCTGATGGCATTCCTGTGTGGTCCTTGTCTGCGTCGGAGATCCCTAACAATCTTTGTTCTTTTAAAATAAAAACAGGTTTTATCTGGACGCTCTGTGGAAGGGGAAAGAGAGAGAGGGAGAGAGAGAGAGAGAGAGAGAGAGAGAGAGAGAGAGAGAGAGAGAGAGAGAGAGAGAGAGAGAGATGCGAGAGAGAACACGTTGGTCCCAATACAGCAGGCCCGGGACCCAAATGCAGCTATTTGGGTAGAAGTGCTTGTCTCAGGAGACCGGGGCCAGTGTGATTGCACGATCCCCAGCATCACGCAGAGTCCCACAATCACTGCCAGGAATGGCCTTGATGCAGTGCAAAGGTGCTTGTATCTTTATCTCACAGTGATTCAAATAAACACACACAGACACAAACACAAACACACACACAAAACCTTGTTGAATGTGTGAGTCTCTCTCCTTTCTGCCCCTTAAATATACCCCCGAAGACTGGAATGTTCCCTTTGATCATAAGTGTATTTCCAGTTGATGCTCAGTCACTCATTTTGGAATACTGGGCATCCACGTACAACCTCTGTCACTGAAAAGTTATTTGAGCCCAAATCACTGTCTTCCCTCCACAGATTCACAGATTATCAGAGTAATAATGGGGCACTGCCTAACCCAACCCCTGCTCCATTTTGGTGGAAATGGAGGAAAACTATTTTCAGTACCCATCCCCCTCACCCTTTGACATTCGTTTATTCTCACATCTCACTCTGGTTGTGGCCTTCCTCACACATTCTGACTCTGCTCACAATATAGAAAGTTGCCATATAGATTGAAGTCATGGTGCAGAACTAGACATTTGCTTTGCATGAAGCCAGCTCAGTTACAATCTCTGGCATCCCATATGGTTTCCTGGGCACTGGAAGGAGTAAATCCTGAGTGCAGGGCCAGGAGAAACTTTGAGCATCACCAAATGTGGAAAAGAAAGAAAAAATCGTCCTTAGGAAAAGGAATTAAACTCATTTTTTTTCATTTGGGTTGATGTAATTTCTCAGCTAGATAGAAGCAAATGTTGCACAACATTTCCAATGTAGGCACAGTCATGAGTGAAAGAGCACAGGGTTATTTAAAGAAGAATCTGTTTCAGTCAATTATTAAATGAAGTACAAAATATGCATGTAAGTAATAAACAATGTTTTCAAAATAGCATAGGAAAAGGCCTAGAGCAATAGCACCGTGAGGAGGATATTTGCCTTGTACGCAGCTGTCCTGGGTTCAATCTCGGCTACCACATATTTCCAGATGGAGTGATCCCTGAGTATGAACATAAGTATGAACATATGAACTATACTAAATATATACTACAGCTCACTTTATTCCATTGTATCTTCAATAGCATGATAAAGCAAGTAAGAAGATAAACATTGAAAAATATAAATAATTAGATGTCTTGATTCACTGTTAATGAAGGATCTACATTGGTTAATAATTGAACTCTCCAAAGAAAACTATCATTCTGATAACACAAGTCATAAAAGAATTGCAAAATTAAAGAATTTTCAGCAATCTTACTCATATAAAATAATTCTAATTGGTTCAAGAAATTCTTGGTCAAAACGTTTAAATGGTAGAAAAATATTTTTGATATGATTTTGCTTTTTGGGTCACATCCATCAATTCACAGGTGTTACGCCTGGCTCTGCACTCAGGAATTACTCCTGGCGGTGCTCAGGGGACTTATGGGATGCTGGGAATTGATCCCAGGTCAACCGCGTGCAAGGAAAATGCCCTACACGCTGTGCTACCTCTCCAGTCCCATTTTTGGAAGACAGAAAAAGACATTTGAGTACATAAAATATTCATGAATCAGAACATCTGGTATTGTGATAGAAAATTCTTACCAAAATTAAAAACTCTAAAATTTTTAAAACAAATCCGTAAACAACCCTAGAATCATTTAACTAATCTGAACTAGATTAGATAGTTCTAATTTTATTTTGTTTATTTTGGGGCCACACTCAGCATTACTCAGGGCTTACTCCTGGCTCTGCACTCAAAAATCAGTCCTGGAGGCTCAGGGACCCTATGGGCTGTTGGGGTTCGAACCTGCATCAGCTGCATGCACAGCAAGAGCCCTCCCCACTTCACTGTGGCTGCCTCCCCCAATAGTTCTAATACTTTGGTTGTTAAATCATAGGCGCTACGAAAAATACATGAAAAAAGGGCATTTGAGAGAAAAGTTAAAAATCAATGAGGAATGCATAAAGAGATGGGGGAAGATTAATAAAATAAAAGTGAACTCATAAAACAAAGTTTAATCAGAGTGTAAAGGTGAATAGAGCTTCTGTGTCAGTGAAAGAGTGAGGATGTAAACATTCTAAGTGACTTGTTGTATGCGTTACTATAAGAACTGGTTATGCCACCAAAAAGTTTTAAAAAATACTTTAAATGAAAATACAGATTAAAAGCAATAAAAGGGGCCAGAAAGATAGTCCAGTGGCTGGGAGCTTGTCTTGCTCGTGATGTGTTTGGTATTTATCTCCAGCATCGTATAGGGTCCCACTTGCCTTTCACACAGCCAACCCGGATTCCATCCCCAGTATCCTCTGAGTACAACCACAGTAATTCCTGCTTGCCTTGCACGCAGCTGACCAGTTCCATCCCATAGGGTGCCCCAAACACCATCCGTAGTAATTCCTGTGTGCAGAGGCAGGAAGACCCCTCAGCATCACTTGGTGTGGCTCAAAAGCATAAAGAAAACAAAGAAGAAAAAACTCCAGAGTACCATGAGTATAACGGAATGTCAGTATAGGAACTCAGGTGAGCTTAACATTCCAATGTGTGTCCCACAAAAACAGCACCAGGAAAAAAATTCTCCGTTTTACAAATTTATTTTTTATTTATTTTTGTCACATTTTGTTGGATATCAACCCTCAGTGCCCTAGGCTTCACAGAATAATTGACTCTTTCCTCCTCTCAGAGAAGCTTCCCATGCCCTTGCTAACATCCCTAATTTATTAAAGTGTATCTTCAACCTTTCCTTTGTGTTGGATATTAACCCTAAGTGCTTTAAACTTCATCAGTGAATTGTCCCCTTTATTCCTCCTAGAGAAGCTTAACAAGCTCTTGCTGGAAAACCTAATTTGGTTAAAGTACATCCTTAACCTTTCCCTTATATTTACCTCTCATTGCAACAACTTTCCAAGTTAGTCTTGATTATTCATAAGCCAAAACTTTCTGGTAATTCTGAACTTTGTATTTGTACTGTTTTGTATTTGAAGTGCTCTATATATCTACCTGCTTT